AGGCGCCCAAGGCGGCCCGAGAGGGCCCCAGGACGGCCCCAAGATGGAGCCAAGAGGGTTGACACGAACCGAAGATCCGAGTCTTCCACCCCGAGAGGCTCTCAGGAGGCCCCGAGAAGCCCCTAACAGGCTCCAAGAGGCCCCAAGAAGCCCCCCAGGGGGCCGAAGAGTATCCAAGATGTCTCCCACGAAGGCCCCAAGAGGCAAAAATCCATGTCATGCCATAGGTTTCTGATTGCTCTTCGTGTTTTCAGCCTTTTGGCGTCCTGACGCTCCAAGACGGCCCAAAAGGCCTCCAAGACCAATCCAAGATAGCCCAAGAGGCCTCCAACAGGGCCCAAGGCAGCCCGAGATGGCACCAATACGGCCCCAAGGGGGGCCCAAGAGGGGTAAGACGAACCGAACATCCGAGCCTTCCACCCCGAGAGGCTCTCAGGAAGCCCCATTGGCCCCCAAATGGGACCCAAGAGGCCCTCAAGAAGCTCCCCAGAAGGCCGAAGAGGTTCCAAGAAGCATTGTTTTCCCATCGGCTTTTGATGGATTTTAGAGTTCCCAGCCTTTTGGCATCCCGACGCTCCAAGACGGCCCAAGTGGCCCCCACGGCCGCTCCAAGATAGCCGAAGAGGCCTCCAAGAGGGCCCCAAGACGGCCCACGAGGGCCCCAAGACGGTGCCCAAGACGGCCCGAGAGGGCCCCAAGAGAGCCCCAAGAAGGGGAACGCGAACCCAACAGCAGAGCTTTCCGCCCTAAGAGGCCCAAAGGAGGCCCCAAGAGCCCCCAACTGGTCCGACGAGGCCCCCCAATGCCCCCCACCAGGCCCCAAAAGGCTCACAGGAGACGTACCAGGGGCCCCAAGATAGCCGAACAGTGCTCTCGATGCATCAAAATTGCTTCAAGGAGGCCCCAGGAGGCTTCCGGATTGCCCCAATGTGGCCTCAAGCCGGGCCTCCACGCAGCCAAGACAGCCAATTGACTGCTTTAGACTGCAGAACATCACTTTCCGACTGCCCGGAGAACCTTGACGATGCCCCAAAGGGACCCCAAGAAGCCCCAAGATGCCCCCCCGAGAAACACCCAAGAAGTGCTTCCAACAGCCAATTGAGAAGGCACGGAGAACCTCCCAGAAGCCCTTCAGATGCCCCCACGAAGACCCAAGAGGTTCCCAAGAGGCCCTCAGGAGGCACGACTATGTCACGCGCCTGTGCTTGATAGCGCTGTCCAAGATATTCTAGCGAGCCCCCAGCCTGGGCTAGAACCTGAGCGCGCGCGAAGCGCGCGCGATGGTTCTAGTATATATATATATATATATATATGTATATACATACATATACGTATATATATATATATATATAAAAACACGCCCTACACATGCAGAGAGAAACAAGAGAGAGCGAGAGAGAAAGCGAGATAGACAGAGAGAGAAACAGAGAGAGAGAGGACAGCCGACCCAAGAAGACGAAAACAGACAAGGGCACATGATGATCTCCTATTCCTCCACTCCGCAGTTCCTGCTCCTCCTCCTCCTGCTTCCTCAGGGCAGCACAGGCTGCCATCATGCAGGTGAACTCGGCACCGGCTGCGCTTCATGCTGCTTCCGCTCCTCCTCTTCATCCTCCTCCTGCTCATCCTCCTCTTGGCAGTGTGTGGTAGCTTGGGCGCATTTGACTTGACCAGGCGGTTCGCCCCAGAGCCGCTCTGGGGCGGGTTGCGCAGCCACCATGAGTCCCCCAGTTCCCTTTCCCTTTTCCGCCGTTTCCTCACACCGCCGCTGGGCTTCTTCACAATGGCGCCGGGTTCCGTCGCGATGGTAGAATGGAAGTATGTCCGACAGCCATTGGGTTCGTGTGCTACTCGCATCCTCGGAGTTCCGAGCGTCTTCCTATGTGCACGCGCTCCAGCACACACTTTTTCACCCAGCGTCCCACCGTCCACCAGGGGAAGTAGCTGTCCAGCCACGCCCAGAGAAAACGGTCGTCGGGAATCAGAGGCATGGCCAACCTCTGCCGACGGCACCAATTCGGAAAGCAGGCGCCAGAACACCCCTCGGCGCGCACGGGCCCGCAACAAAGCTTAGGATGGTTTGGGTAAGTGAGACGAGTCTGCCGCTCATGGCGCTGCGGCAAACTCGTACAAGGACTTCACGTTCTGAGCGTGCTCCCCCTTTTTCTGCACGCGGTGAAGATAGTCGCTGCTGCGAGAAGAAAAAATGTCCGGCAGCCCACCCCCCAGATCCCCGACCTCATGATTTGCTCATAACTTCGACCCCCTGAGGTCTCGACCCATTTCCGGGGACCGGCTCTTCATCCCTAGTCGTTTTTTGACGGCCCCGATGCCCAGGGCCCCCACATCCTGAGCAGAAAAATTAGCCTAGCGAAGGACCCAGCCATCTGCAGTGAGTATCATCTTCGGTGGAGCTCCCTAGGTGGCCACGAAACGTATGAGGGGTGTGCCGGGGGGTGGGGTGGGCGCGTGTGGGGCCACGAAACGTGTGATCGGTGTGCCGAAATATGTGGGGGGACGCATGTGGACGATGCCATTCGCGCCTTCGGTGAAGCTCCCTGTGGGGCCACGAAACGTGTGAGGGGTACGCCGAAATGAATGGCGGGGACGCATGTGGACGGCGCCATTCGGGCCTTCGGTGGAGCTCCCTATGGGGCCGCGAAACGTGTGAGTAGTGAGTAGTGTAACGAGGCGGGCGGGGGGGGACACAGCGGGCTGCGCCACTGGGACCTTCGGCGAGGCTCCTTATGGAGCCACGAAGCGTGTGAGCGGTGTGCCGAAATGGTTGGCGGGAATGCAGGGGACCTTCGCTGAAGCTCCATATGCGGCCACGAGGCGTGTGAGGGGTGTGCCTAAATTGGTGGCGGGGACGCATGCGGGCTGCGCTACTGGGACCCTCGGCGGAGCTCCCTATGGGGCCACGAAGCGTGTGAGGGGTGAGCCGACATGGGTGTGGGTGACGCATGCGGGCTGCGCCATTTGGACCTTCGGTGCAGCTCCCTATGGAGCCACGAAACGTGTGAGGGGTGTGCCGAATGGGCGTGGGTGACGCATGCGGGCTGCGCCGCTGGGACCTTCGAAGGAGCTCCTGGTGGGGCCACGATCCGACATGGATGTGGGTGACGCATGCGGGCTGCGCTACTGGGGTCTTCGGTGGAGCTGCCTATGGGGCCACGAAGCGTGTGAGGGGTGTGCCGGAATGAATGTGGGTGGCGCATGCGGGCTGCGCCGCTGGGACCTTCGGTGGAGCTCCTTCTGGGGCCACGAAACGTGCGAGAGGTGTGCCGAAATGAATGTGGGTGACGCATGCGGGCTGCGCCACTGGGACCTTCGGTGGAGCTCCCTATCGGAACCCGAAACGTGTGAGGAGTGTGTGCCGACATGGGCGTGGGTGACGCATGCGGGCTGCGCCACTGGGACCTTCGGTGGAGCTCCCTATGGGGTCACGGAGCGTGTGAGGGGTGAGCCCGAATGAATGCGGGTGACGCATGCGGGCTGCGCCACCGGGACCTTCGGTGGAGCTCCCTATGGGGCCACGAAACGTGTGAGGGGTGTGCCGACATTGGTGTGGGTGACGTTTGCGGTCTGCGCAATTGGGACCTTCGGTGAAGCTCCTGATGGGGCCACGGAGCGTGTGAGTGGTGTGCCGAAATGGGTGTGGTTGACGCATGCGGGCTGCGCCATTGGGACCTTCGATGGAGCTCCCTTTGGAGTCACGAAACGTGTGAGGAGTGTGTGCCGAAATGTTTGTGGGTGACGCATGCGGGCTGCGCCACTAGGACCTTCGGTGGAGCTCCCTATCGGAACCCGAAACGTGTGAGGAGTGTGTGCCGACATGGGTGTGGGTGACGCATGCGGGCTGCGCCATTGGGACCTTCGATGGAGCTCCCTTTGGAGTGACGAAACGTGTGAGGAGTGTGTGTGCCGAAATGTGTGTGGGTGACGCATGCGGGCTGCGCCACTAGGACCTTCGGTGGAGCTCCCTATCGGAACCCGAAACGTGTGAGGGGTGTGCCGACATGGGCGTGGGTGACGCATGCGGGCTGCGCCACTGGGACCTTCGGTGGAGCTCCCTGTGGGGCCACGGAGCGTGTGAGGGGTGTGCCGACATGGGCGTGGGTGACGCATGCGGGCTGCGCCACTGGGACCTTCGGTGGAGCGGGTGTGGGTGACGGACGCATGCGGGCTGCGCTACTGGGATCTTCTGCGGAGCTCCCTATGGGGTCACGAAGCGTGTGAGGGGTGTGCCGACATGAATGTGGGTTTGTGACGCATGCGGGCTGACATGAATGTGGGTTTGTGACGCATGTGGGCTGCGCCACTGGTTCCTTCGGTGGAGCTCCCTGTGGGGCCACGAAGCGTGTGAGAGGTGTGCCAAAACGAATGTGGGTGACGCATGCGGGCTGCGCCGCTGGGACCTTCGAAGGAGCTCCCTATGGAGTCACGAAACGTGTGAGGAGCGTGTGCCGAAATGTGTGTGGGTGACGCATGCGGGCTGCGCCACTGGGACCTTCGATGGAGCTCCCTATGGGGCCACGAAACGTGTGAGGGGTGTGCCGAAATGGGTGTGGGTAACGCATGCGGGCGACGAAGCGTGTGAGGCGTGTGTTCCGACATGGGCGTGGGGTGACGCATGCGGGCTGCGCCACTGATCTTCGGTGGAGCTCCCTATTGTATCGAGCCACGAAACGTGTGAGGGGTGTGCCGGCATGGGCGTAGGTGACGCATGCAGACTGCACCATTGGCACCTTCGGTGGAGCTCCCTATGGGGGTCATGAAACGTGTGAGGAGTGTGCCGAAATGAGTGGCGATGATGGTGACGATAACGGAGGAGGAGTAGGAGAAGGGAGGGAGGGAGGAGGGGGAGGAGGAGGAGAGGAGGAGAGGAACGCGGGGCGATGTCTCTTCAAAACGAGGGCCCAACACCAACGGATGGTAGAGAAAAGACCTTGGGTCGTGATTTTTTCATGGCTCGAGGGGGCGTGGGCCCCCCGAGCCAGGCGATGGCGGGCGCCACCGCTTCATGGTGGGCACCTGCTCCCTGCAGCGGAAGAACGAGGTGCACCTCGTCGAGTTCTCCGAGGACGGCGGCCGCTCCCCGTGCCCCGCTTTCCCCGGGCCTCGGCCGCGCAGCCCGAGGCCGGCGCGAGCGCCCCCGCCCCCTGGGCACCCCGTCCCCCGCCCCCTATCTCGACCACGTGTAAGAGTGACCCTTCGCTGGAGTGACCTTCGGGGCGGGCTCGCTGGGGTTCCCCCGATCGCGGTGCGCGATGCGACAATGGCCCATGGCTGCTTGCGCGCTTGGATTTAGCCACCTTGCGCCCCCCTGGTCCGCGCACAAAAGGTCACTCTTGCCTAGGGTCACTCTTGTGTGTAGTCGACCATTCCAGACCCCCGCGAGCCACAGAAAAATCACGACGGAAGGGTTGTTCGCTATTTTCGGCCTCTGGGGGCCCTTACCGGGCCTCGGGGCCGTCGAGAAACGGCCCGGGTCGAGACGCCTGCCCCAGGGAAGGGGTCGAGACCTTTTGGGGCCGACGTCATGGGCAAATCACGACGTCGGGGGTCTGACACAAGAAAAAAACAAGTTGAGATAACAACAACTAACCTTCGACGGGCCCCTCGTCGCCACGGCTGGATGCAGGTCGGAAAATTTGTACGTTCGGACCCCGGGAGCTCCCCAGCCCCGCCACCCCGCCGCCCCGCTCCGCTCCGAGAGGCCCACCCGGCCCCGCCACCCCGCACTCGGCGTTCGTGCGAGCCCGTGAGCGTAATGCTTTTATAGTTCGTGTCAGAAGACCTGGTGTTTCTTCAAGACTAACACGCCGATGGGTTCCCCACGGCAGCGTGTCATTGGCACAGTTTTGCTCCTCCCCTTCGGATCTGGGGCAACGATCGGGTGGCATCTGAGGGGGGGGCTCAGTCGGCCACGGATCGCCCATTGATCGCCAGAAGGGGCCTGATAGCCCACCCCGTCCAGGAGCATGCTGTTTCGCAATCGGGGCCTATCACAGATCTATCGGCAAAGTATCGCCGAGTCCAGCTCGACGTTTCCCCCCTGAGCCAGTCCCCCCCCCTCGGATCGGGTCGGACGAAAGGGGGGGGGATAGGCAAAGGGGGGTTATGACATCTGTTGCGTGCAGATGATTTTGACCCCGCCGCCGGGCGCCTTTCCTCGATACTGACGCCCGTCGGCGCCCCGAGGCGTCTGGCAAGTCAGCTACGTGAGCTGACTGGCCAACTCACCCTTCGTCCGACCTGATACGAGGAGAAGGGGCGACGCCAACACTACCACCAGAGGGGACACCTCCAGCGAGGAGGTCCACGATTTATCTCCGAGCCAGATACTTTGGAGATCTCTCGAACGAAGCGGGGGGGGCACACCACCAGGAGGACCCCCATGTGGCTCCTCGCGCCGTTGGTGGTGGCGGCGCTGTCGTTTTTCTCTAGTCCCCCCCCCCCCTCGGGTCGGACTCGCGGAGGGTTTCGTGTGTTCGCGGCGGTTTTCTGGCCTCGTGATGTTTTCCAGCAGCTGCGCCTCGCCGGGAGCATTCCAGAGCCCAAGTCGTCTCGAACGCCGGACGGCCGCCGGAGAACCGAGCTATGATCCGAAAGCCAGACGACGAGGATCGCCCGGGTCAGATGAAAGAGGAGGATGTCGGATATCGATAGGGGCCAAGTCGATTAGCGAATTGCCCTTTGTCGGATCTCGATAGTGTGTTGCGACCGCAATGTTTGCGGGCTTGTGCCCGACTGGCCTGGCCCCGGGCCATTTTCATGACAGGTTGTTTTGCGAAAGGGGTATCTGTCCACACCCGAGGATTGGGAGCGGGGGGTCACGGAATCTGCTGCATGCAGCGATTTGCAGCTCCTCCGCCCAGCCCTCTCCTGGATGCATGGTCTCTCCTGGAGCCGGGAGGCGCCATGTCGTTGGTTCGCTACACCCCTTGCGTTTGCGCTGTGCCCCTCTTGTCTTGTCCGGCCCGATGCGCCCCCGCCCGCCCCTGGCAGAACAGGGGCCTTCTCCGTTTCGCTCGCGGCGCGCTGTGGGGGCTTAATGGAATCCTGGAGGCGGTGACCCTACATATGCAAACGGACAACACACACACTCACTCACTCATTCACTCACTCACTCATTCACTTACACATACCAATCGGAGGGTCGGAGGGAGGAGAAGACTGGCTATGGGTATGGGTGCGGGTTGTCGGGCCCTGGGGGGGCCCCCGTTCGAGCGGGGACCCCCCTCCGACAACACGCGCCCATAGCCGCTTCCCGTCCCCTCGGGTGTGTGTTGTCCCAGACCCTTTCGCCTCGTGAAAGAAACACGACCCGAGAGGTTTCGGCTAGTTTCGGCCCCTCGGGGACCTCGCCGGGCCCGAGAAGCGTCACGAAACTACTCGGGATGAAACGCCAGCCCGCGGAAGAGAGTCTAGACCTCTGGGGGTACACCCACGGCAAGAATGGTCTCCTCAGACCGACTGCTGGCCTTCCAAGGTCACGGTGATACCCGGTGAGTGGGGGACGCTGGCGGCCTTACCTCGGCCTTCGTGGCGAGAGGAGCGACAGCACCGTGGGGCGGTGCAGCTGAGAGGACCGCCGAGCAAGTCTGATTGCACTGGTGAGTGCAATCCTCGACCTCCTCCTCGTCCACGTTTTGAAAAATCACGATGTCAGGGGGTCTGGTTAACGCCCCGATTTCAGTTTTCGCGTCCGAGTTTTGGCTCGAAGGTCGCTGCAGACGGCTCGACCGCCTCGGAGCGGTCGGTACCGACCTCCTCAGAAGACGCCCATTTTTCATGCCGGGGCTTCGTCGCCACTGCGGCTGGGCGCGGCTTGACAAAGTTGTGATGATGATAACTGGGCGGAAACCAGAAGGTGGTTCGGGCCAAATTGCGACAGGGAAGGATCCTTCTGTGTCCGGCCGGCGTGGTCATGGGTGCGTGGGCGAAGGGGCAACGGCTAGCCACGGCGTCTCCTCCTCCTCCTCCTCCTCCTCCTCCTCCTCATGTCATGGGGCCGCCGTGCGGGCGGTCGCGGGCCTCGCGGCAGCGGTCGAAAAGCTGGCGGGCGCGGGCGTCAGCGGCACAGGCGGCTCGGCGCCTGCCAAGCGCTCGCGGGCCTGGGTCGCGGCCTTGCGGCTCGTGTTCGGGCGTGGGCCGCCGCGAGAGCCGTCGGGGGCGGGCTAACGCTGCTGCTGGGGGGCTCGCAGGCGGGTCCGCGGCCGGTGCAAGCGCCAGCGGGAGCAGGTGATGGGGGCAGTCACAGGTTGAGCCTTCAGCCTTGGTGTTTTTGTGGGGCGGAGAAGGCCTCCCAAGAGTAGCATCTTGCCGTCGATGCGCTAGGTACGCCAGCTTCTGGTGGATCGGGTTTTAGTCCAATTGTCCTGTGGACGATCCTTGGGAGATCTTTGGGCGGTCCAACCGATTGTTGGAAAGGCGACACCCGACCACGAAGCGAGATTTGTGATGCAGCCCCATGTCGCCCAGGAGAGGCCTGGGGGGATGGCTCTGTTTCGTTCATCGTCGTTCCTGGTGTCACGCATTCATGGGGGAGGATCAGGCATCGAATCCTCTTCCTCTTCCTCTTCCTTTTTCTCCCGCAGATCCAGGGGGTCGGGATGGATAGACGAGGAGGAGGAGGAGGAGGAGGAGGAGGAGGAGGAGGAGAGGAGGAGGAGGAGGAGGAGGAGGAGGAACAGGAGGAGGAGGAGGAGGAACAGGAGGAGGAGGAGGAGGAGGAGGAGGAGGATGAGGGCGAAGAGGAACTCGGGATCGGGGGTGTCGGCGCTTCGGCACTCTGACTTCGCCTGGCAAGCTCAAGAAAACTGGGATTCAGAATGGAGTGCCCAGAACTGCTAGCAGTGAATCATTCGGGGGCCCTTGGAGCGCCCGAGGGGCCCTTGAGCAACTAGACCTGGGCCGGCACGGAAACGGAAAGAGCGCCTCAAACACATTAACCGAAATTACTCACACTACCGTTCGTACTGCCACCCCTCGCTCCTCCTCCTCCTCCTTTTCCTCCTCCTCCTCCTCCTCCTCCTCCTCCTCCTCGGTCGGTCGGTCGGGATTAGGGCATCAGTGTCACAGACGCAGCCCATGCCAAGGAAAAGGAGCAGTGCACAGTGCATGGGGTCGATGCGACGACGGACATAATTCGACGACACACGACCAGAAATTAGGGGTGAGTGCTTATCTTCTCGGTGCCAACCCATTGAATCCCGCAAAGTCCGCCCCTAACTCTGGGTCCAAGTAAGGGTCAAGTGGCACATAGAATTGACAATACTCTTTCTGCTCCCCTGCCTGACTCTCTCTCACCCTCGTGCTACTATCCAGTTCAGCAAAAAAAGAGGCGGCTTGGATTCTGCACATCCTCTCAGGATATGTCTTCGCCTCGGACGTCCTCCACCTACCCTCGGTAGTTCTCCCCTCCAATGTCTGGTGGGGATGTCCACGATCACACCTGGCACGATTTGGCACACAGCCGAGCAAAACCTTCAAAGACTCGCACCTGATAGCCATGAGGCAAGTTGGTTTCAAACATGGCGCACCCAACATGCACTGGTCAACCCTCAAAACTTCCGCCTGTCTTCCACCAGACGAGGCCAAGCGAATTACTTCTTCCAGCTTCCAAATACTCGGGGCATCAGGAAGGTGCTCAGGGGGGCAGGGTGTTCAATTACCATGGGGGTATGCGTAAGATATGCTTCATATGCGAACAACAACGTGGTTCTCAAGAGCCTGCTACCTACTTGCAACTGCAAAAGCTCCTTGATTTTGAGTGCCCTATTGCCCCATGGTCTCTCAGCCTCCCGTAGAGGTCTGGGTGGGTGCTGCATTCCAGGCGCAGCTCGATATCTGGCCGCTGACCATGTCTCACATGGCGAGCCAGCTAAAATTCCTACTACTCTGCCTGATGATATCAGGCACATCCACTTGGCAGCAATCTCTTTGTTCCCCAAACCCCCTAACTCTGCATCATGAATAATGTCAGTACTCAAAACAAACACAAGATACCTCCCCCCATCCTCTGTTCAAGGTGCTCTTGTACGTCTCCCTGTCTCCTCATTCCCGAGAACAGGTGTA